GAAAACCTTTTCCAGTGAACTGACACATCAACACCAGCAGCAGGTTTTCGTTTCTCTCACTCTGCCAGTTACTGATTTAGGACTTTCTTCAACATCCTGGAAACAGAACTGCAGTGAAGAACAGAAACAAATGATTCATCAGAGCAGTAGATGGCTGTTCAAGAAGTCCAAATGGAAACCTGGACCTGGTCGTCCGCTTCCTGCTGGGTCTGTCGCTGCAGACCAATCAGAGACTCGTACACACAGACAGGAAGCAGCTCAGACCAATGAGGAGACAGTTCAGTACATAAAGAAGAACATCAGCGACAATCTGCCTGTAGAGAAGATCATCAACCTTTTCCACTCTGAATGAACTGAACCATCGTTCTCTAGTGGAGGAGATCCAACAGTCTCTGAGTTCAGGACGTCTGTCCTCTGGTAAACTGTCTCCTGCTCAGTGGTCGGCTCTGGTCTTCATCTTACCGTCATCAGAAAAAGATCTGGATGAGTTTGATCTGGAAAAGGATTCTCCTTCAGAGGAGACTCTTCTCAGACTGAGAGGTCAAAGCTGCTAACAAAGTCATACAAGTACAAACAGAGCCAGATACATCTGGTTCATCAGGCTCAGCTTGCTTTATTTGTTCAATCATTTGTTTTTGGAGCGATTTCAGTTCTTAGATTCTTTATACTTTAGTTTTGAAGTCGTTCTTTAAACTTGAACATGTGAGTATTTGAGGCTGGAAGCTCTCAGCCCTGAACTCCATCACCTTCCAGAGCTACAACCATCTGGGAGGCGGGAATGAAGACGCTCTCCTTTGGGAGAGACGGTGAAAATGGCAGACTGGAAACTGAAAAATGATTTAAATATAGTTATTCAAAGAGAAACTCTGAGCTTTAAGTCCAACAGACCTAAAGCTGTTGGCCTGAACAGCAAAGTGCCAAAGTTTGAACCGATTCTGTTTTTACTGGATGCTGCAGCAAGTATGAAGTCAATCGACATCCTGAAGAGTTGAGGACACATGAAATCACTTCCTGTCTCCTCCGGTGGGTTTCAGGTGAGGTACCGCTCACCTGAACAGCGCCCTCTGCTGCACTGGTGCTGCTTCTCTTCTGGCTGTTGCATCCAGTGGAGACCACAGCTCACCTGGAAAGAGATGAACAAGTCATTATTGATAATTATATATGGCAGATGAAATGCAGCAATACTGTGAAAAGTTCATTACTAAATAACTAAAAACTCTCCAGAGTTTCTCCTCCTGCATCTTATGAATCGTAGCTTCAGAACCTTGAGCTGCTTTTAGCCTCTATTTAGCTCAGAGTTTGAGCCGAGGCTCCAGAAATCAGGTCATTGTCGTGTTACTTCATGTCTCTGTTAGGAAGGACTCAGTTTTTCTAAAACTTGTTGAATTCCAGCGTGTAAATGAGTCTTTGTCTGTGAAATGTTTGCTACCTTCAGGGTGAGTCCTTTGCGGCAGCCATCTTGGGATTCTGCTAAAGAAGAGGCCCGCCTCAAACACAGCTCTTTAATAGAACCGGCTGCACTTTGATTGGCCGGGCAAATTGAGAGGCGGGGCTTCACTGGTTAATTGATGGACTGCTGGATGTAAGGGCGGCCATTTTGAAAGCTGCTTTGGTGCAAATGACTCAATAAATAAACTTTGTTGGCAGAACAGCAAAAGTTTGACTGGATTCTTCTTTCCACACCTTTTAGTATAAAAGTCACATTCTTTAATAAATTATCATAAACTCTTGTCTCATAATTCAAACTGTTGACCTTTGTTATTCCAACTGTAATTTTCTGTTTTATCTCCAGAGAATCTCTAAAAATTGAGACTTTAGAGAGAATCTAAAATCTCTCTAATTTATATTAGAGAGATTTAATCTTTAATTTTTAGATTAAATCTAAAAAACATCGACATGACGGCACCAGGTCCAGTTCTGGTTCTGCCCTCTGACATCTTGGCCTCAACCGGCCTGCACAGGTAGAGATAGGCCAGGTTCTGGAGCCACAGTGATGCTGATCGATGATACGAACTGGATTCTGATCCGAATCCTGAGACGGATTCAAGCTGCAGCTTCAACATCAGAACCAGATGAAGTTTCTTCTTCACTAAAGAACATTTCAGTTTGAGTCTCTGAATGAAGGAACTGATTTCATAAACGCAAGAGAGTCAGAGGAACCGGGTCAGAGAGAACCGGGTCAGAGATGGAACCGGGTCAGAGATGGAACCGGGTCAGAGATGGAACCGGGTCAGAGATGGAACCGGGTCAGAGAGAGAACCGGGTCAGAGATGGAACCGGGTCAGAGAGGGAACCGGGTCAGAGAGGGAACCGGGTCAGAGAGAGAACCGGGTCAGAGAGGGAACCGGGTCAGAGATGGAACCGGGTCAGAGAGGGAACCGGGTCAGAGATGGGGCTGCTCTTAATGTTATTAAAATACTTTTATGAATTGATAATCATTTCAGTTTGAGATGAGTAAAATTTAATTTGCTGCTTTTGAATAACAGTTTATTGTTTCAGAGAGAAAAACAACAGAAGTAAAATGTCTTATTTCAAATGAAAGCTAACAGAGGAACTCGTTTCTATGGCTCTTAATGTGAAAGTACTCACCGGAAGTGAATGTAGTTTGTAAACGCTCTAACTTTATCAAGTAGGTGTAGTTATCATCTGGGTCCGCTAGAGGGCAGAAACCGCCCTGCTCTGATATTAATAGTTCAGTTCGCGGCTCTGCAGCTAAAATATCAACATTATTCTGACTGTTTGCAGGATAATTAAACTTTTCATAAATATTTTCCTACCTTCAGACCGGAAGCTCAGCATCTTATCGCCTAAACCAGAGTTTGTTTCAGCTCTGTTTGAGCTGAAGCTCCAGTTTTAAGAACCACAGCTCCTCTGAAGCCGCTGCTAGTCTGTTAGCATCGTTAGCTCCGCTCAGAGTCTCTGCGGGATGTTTTCGTCTCTGTGGAGATGCTTCTAGTTCACACTGACAGATAAAACACTGATTTCCAGAAACCAGCTGCAGCTCTTCAAACTCACCTCTATATTCAGAGCGGGGTATTTACGCCCTCTGGTGGCCTTAGTGGGAACTACAGCCCTGATAATGCCGCATTATTTATGTTTAATATCCATTAATGTGGAGTTTAGAGAAAAACTAAAAGACATCCCGAGTCATTATCACAGATTTCTGTCTAGTTTGTTATTCAGACATATTTTGATTCACTGTTTGGAGTTAACTTTGATCTGACGTTATAAAATTTTACATTAAAACAAACATCCGGTTTAACAATTTATATGAAGAATGTCTGTAGTTATGATAGTTCACCACCAGAGGGCAGTAAGAACTCAATCAACCATCATAAAACTAATAAACTTTTAAACTTTTCACTAGTTTCTAATGACAAGTTATATTAACTTAATCCTGTGAATAATAATTTATATATTTCATACATGTATGTTATTAGAGATAGAGATTAATTATTAGAATAATTTAGACACAAAGTGAACAACTACTTATAAAGTAATATTTTATTTTACAATAGATGGAAATTTAGTTTGAAAAAATCCTACATTTTATTGTGTAACAATCCCAGAAATATTAACTGTTGTTAATTTTGAGAATGAAAGTGTGAAAAAGCTTCAAATATCAAGAAAAAACAACCAGCTGACATAAGAACAACTGTTCTTTATTATTTTAAAAACTGTTTAAAATTATAAAAAAAAGCTGCTGTAATAAACTCTTTACAGGACGTTTTATTTCAGATCAAACTGAATAAAATCCTGCAGTGACTCTTATTTAATGACAGTAATGTAAGCTGACTTGATCTGACTTTATAACAGAGAAAATTAAAACAAAGAGAAACATCTGGTTGAACAATTTCTATTGATGATGTAAATAATGAATAAATCCAGAACGACGGCAGGATGACCGATGGAGAATGTCCTGATATGTGAGGAAAATTAACTGTTTCATCTCATGAACATATAAACTTTTGTCCAAGCATCATCAGAGGTGGAGTCGCTCGTCCCGTCTGTCTCAGCGCTGAATTTTCCTGCGTACCTGAACACATCTTCAGTAAAACCAGCCTCACTGAAGCCAACAGACCAGAGCTACGTTGCAGGAAAACTCTGAAGTTTCTTGCTGGTTTTGGCCTCTAAACTGAGACGCGCTCTCATAAGGAGTGAAATGTTGCACTAGGTGCAGGAGATGACCTTTAACCCCTGGTCCCAGGTTTTAGGCGGTGTTGAGGAGAAGAGCGAGGCTCCTGATCTGCTGTGAGTGACGTGACGCTCGGTGGAAGTTCTGCATCCTGTTGCAGCTTCATGTTGGAGACGTGAGGTTTTGCTTCTCCTGTCAGGGATTTGATGGGAAACGAGTCACAACATTCAGATGATTTCGTCACTTTGACGATGCAAACTCTGGTTCCTCAGTGTTTGGTCTGTCAGAACGCTGGCTCAGGTTTCTCCTCTAGTTTTTCTTTAAACTTGTTCCACTTTAAATCCACACAAATAAACCACAGAAAGTTATTTTCTCATCTTCTGATGCAAATTTGCATCCATCAACAAAAGCAGGAAAATAAAACTGTTCTTGAACAACAGCTGTGCAAACTGATCCCATCACATCTGTGAGCAACATGGAGTCGATCTCTGGTTCACCTTTGACCTTTTCTTCCTTCTTGTTGCATCAGAAACTTAAAGTGAATAAAGACGTTTGAGTGAAACCAGGTTTCAGGTGGACTGAAGTCGTCTTCACTGTGAACTTCATCAACTTTCTGCTTCATAACAAAACCTTTCAAATCCAAACACACATCCAAGCAGCCGAGTCCAAATGATCCACGTTCAAATATTGTTTCTTTTCTCTGCAGGATCTGGTCAGGACGTCTGGATCTCAAGTGGATTTAATGCCACAGATCCAGAGGAAGTTTTACTGTTTGGCTCTGAATCTATAGAGCTGCTATCATGTCTGATTTTAGATCAACTTTTTTCACCTCAACAGAATAAAATGACATTTTGTCCCATTAACAAACTCTTTAAAGCTTTTTAATGAAATTTATGATTCATGTTTTTGCTCAATTCAACTTTTCTAACAAACTCAGAGTATTTTTCTCTCTTTTGTTTCTGCAGATCATCAAACAGATCAGATGAAAAATAAAACTGAAAATCTTCAACAATCGACGTCTGGAAAATATTTGAAATAGAAATAGAAAATGTTCTGAGGTCAGAGGTCATCATCTTGATCCAGAGTCTCTTTAGACTCAAACTGCTGCAGCTTCAACCTGTGAGGATCAGCAGGACACAGAGACGTTCTCTACTTTACAGAGATCAGAACAACCTGCAGAGAGAAGAAGGAAGGAGAGCAGATCAGTGAGTGTTTCCAGTAGCAGTCAGTGACGCAGCACATCCAGTAGATGGTTTCCAGTCAGACTGATCTCAGAGCTGTGACCAAGATGAACCTGATCAGTTGTTTCCTGTTGAACTGAGAGAACAAGCAGGTCTGAGATCAGATCTGCTGCTGTTTGATGAATGAGGACCACTGTCTCTAGACATGTTGGACGCTGGAGTCCAGCTGGACGTCCTGGAGACATGGACACAGCAACAACACAGCAAGCTGCTGCTCCTCTGATTGGCTGATTGCTGTGTCCAATCAGGAAGTCTGAACCATTCTCCTCCCACTGAGAAGCTGCAGCTTTACTGGGAACACTGGATCTTTGCTCTGATGCTGACTGGGTTTAGTTCAATATGCTGACAGCAGCTGGACTCACTGCAAACATTTACTTACTCTAAAGTTTTTACAAGATCCTTCAGCTGCTGAACATCTGATTCCTTCAGGTTGTTTTCTCTCAGGACCAGTTCTGTCAGACGGGTCGGGTTGGACTTCAGAGCTGAGGCCAAATAATCACAGCTGATCTTTGACAAACTGCAGTCATTCAACCTGAATAAAGAATAAAAGATGTGAACCAACAGGATGCAGGTTAACCAGTCCAACAGAACCAGTTAAAGATTCTCATGATATTAATACCAACAAGCTGCTGCTCCAATAAAGACCTGCTGACTTCAGAACCAGAACCAGAACCTGGTACTGGGTCATGATGTGTTGGAGGATTTTAGTCAGTAAAATCATTCCAGGTTCTGATCAAAGTGTTGAAGCATCATCATTGATTATTGATTTGTTCCTGTCAGATTCCAGGATTTCACTTTTCTAGACTGGATGACCTTTGACCTGCTTGACCTGAGGGGGATTTCTACACACTGGGGTCCGAATGCTGTCCTGTTCTGACCTCAGATCAGCAGGTCCAACTCAGTTACACAGAGAAACTAAATTAAACTCTGGATCCAGGAACAAACTCAGAAAATATTGATTAGATCAGAAGAAATGAACTTTGATTGATGATCAATTATATAGAATTATTCACAGAAATATCAATAATTATATCATTACATACACCAATATCTCCAGTCTGCAGCCTTCAGTCTGTAGAAAACCACAGAGATCCTTCAGTCCAGAACCTTCCAGGTTGGTTTTGCTCAGGTTCAGTTCTGTCAGATCGGGTTGGACTTCAGAGCTGAGAACAGAGACGTCCAGCTGTCTCTGAGAAACTGCAGCCACTCAATCTGAATAAAGAATAAAAGATGTGAACCAACAGGATGCAGTTAAACTGAAATATAAACAAATCAAATAAAATGTATAAATTAATTTCCCTGAATGTAAAAGAAACATGATGAACTGATTCTAACATCTGATCCAGTCAAACTGGTTTAAAGAGTCCAAACCAGCAGAACCAGAACATTTGATCAACAAAGAAACTCAAAGTTTTCTATCAGACTGGATGAGTTGAGCTATTTTCTGCTGGTTCCTGATCATCAGACCCGACTTGGTAACTGGATCAGAACCAGTCAGGTTCTTCATTAATGGCCTTTGGTTCCTAATAAAGCTGCTGAAAGCCAATGGAGGCCATTATTTCCTCAGGAGACGGTTCCTCTCTGACCCGGCCCAACAGAACCACAGCCTCAGGACAAAGCTGAGGAACCTGCTGCTGCTGCAAACCTCACTTTCATTCATTGCATCTAGATTTGCTTTTCTACAATCAGTGGTTTCTTAGACGCTCATTAATGAGGATTTTGAACTCGTCAGTGTTGTGGCTCTGGAGGATCAACATTTCATTCTGATGTAAAGAATCAGAAATAAAAGCATCTGAATCTTTACCAAACTGAAACATCTCCATCATTCATTCACAGCATTTCAATTATTTTACTCATTTTGTTCATCAAAAACATTTTAAAGAGAAAATGAAAACAAAGTTCAATAATCTCAAGTCTGAAATAAGAAAATAATTAATAAGGTCAAAAGTTTTAGAGATTTTATTCTCATGATTAAACAAGTTGTTTTAAAATAATATATATTAACATTAAATTGATTAACTATTGATTAAAGAATCAATAAATGATTTTATTGAATAAATAGAGAAAACAAACCCCATATGCTTCACTTTACTGACTGAATTCTCCAGGATCTCAACCAGATGCTTCATATCAGATTCTCCACCTTTATACATGAAGATCTGATTTATTTCCAGTTCAGTCAGATCTGGGTTGGACTTCAGAGCCGAGGCCAAAACTTCATATTCAGCATTTTGGAGCGAACAGTCACCAAGTCTGTGATTAGAGAAGAAATAAATTCAGTTCTAATGAAATCAATCTGGATCATAAACAGACTAAATATGATAACAGTGATGTCATCATCTGATCATCTGATCAATATCTACTGAGTTTGACCCCACAGAGAATCTGTGCAGTTCCTGGTTAAAGTCCAGGTTCTGGTTCTGGTCCAGGTTCTGGTTCTGGTTCTGGTTCTGGTCCAGGTTCTGGTTCTGGTCCAGGTTCTGGTTCTGGTCCAGGTTCTGGTCCAGGTTCTGGTTCTGGTCCAGGTTCTGGTTCTGGTTCTGGTCCAGGTTCTGGTCCAGGTTCTGGTTCTGGTCCAGGTTCAGGTTTAGGTTTAGGTTCTGGTTCTGGTCCAGGTTCTGGTCCAGGTCCAGGTTCAGGATCTGGTTCTGGTCCAGGTTCTAGTTCTGGTCCAGGTTCTGGTTCTGGTCCAGGTTCTGGTTCTGGTTCTGGTCCAGGTTCTGGTTCTGGTCCAGGCTTCATGTCCTCAGACCTTCAGCTGCAGTCAGATGTTGAAGATCTTCTATCATCAGTGAAGGAAAGTTCAGTTTCTCTGCAGCAGCTGATGAAGAGGCTGACTGAGCTGAATGAAGGAAACGACTGGAGATGATGGAGAGGAGGAGGAACTGCTCACAGCTCTGACTTGGACTAGACCGTTTAGATCAAGCAGGAAGTGAGTTTCTAAATGAAGTGAGCAGAACAGGAAGTCCCTGCTGTGGACCTCTGGCATCTCTGGGTTTGTTGAGCCACTATCTGCTGCATCATCATGAATAATAGTAATATATTGTATAGAAACATGTTTCCCAGCAGCAGGTTATTAAATGCTGCCACAGAGGAAACTGGGAGCAGAACAAACACATGATGCTCCAGTTCTGTCTCCGTTCATCTGCTGGATTTGATGCTTTAACAAAGTAGAAAGTGGACAGTCGTCAACCTGCTGCAGCTAAAAGCTTCACGTTGTTCGTCCTGCAGAGCAGCAGCAGAACCGGTCCTGCTGCTCCTTCCGGTCTGAACCGTCTGGACTGGGTCAGAACCGGGTCCAGGTGAACCAGGATCTGCAGATGATCCTCATTAATATGTCTGCACACATTGAGATGAGACAGACTGATAAACTCTCAGTCCATCAGTCTGATCTACTATAGTGATGATATGGATCATGGTGGACAGAACCAGAACCAGAGTGTTTGTCCATTTTTCATGATGAAGCAGTGAAATTTCTCCAGTAACTAGAAGATGTTGGGATCCATTTTCTGCTGCATGGATCATAGAGAATCTCCTGATTCAATGTGTTGACAGTAAGTAATGATTATTAGGAACATTTTGGACTCAAAGTATCAGATATTGATATGAAACTGGAACTTTCACTAAAATCATTTTCTGGTCTCCAGCAAAATTAAAACGTCTCAGACAGCAGAGGCGGAGACAGAGGGTGGCAGGGATTGCATTTGCCACCCCCAACAGAGGCCTTGCCCCCCCTACTGCCACCCCACTGGAAATGGTCATTTTAAAATATACTTATGAGATTGGCAAAGACCCGGGCCGGACCCGAGCCAGACCAGCGCAAGACCAGGGACAGACCCGGGCCAGGAAAGGGCCGGATCCGGGCCAGACCAGGACCGGACCCGGGCCAGACCCGAGACAGACCAGCGCAAGACCAGGGTCAGACCCGGGCCTGGAAAGGGCCGGATCCAGGCCGGACCAGCGCCGGACCAGCGCCGGACCAGCGCCAGACCAGGGCCGGACCAGGGCCAGCCCAGGGCCAGATCCGGGCCGGACCAGCGCAAGACCAGGGATAGACCCGGGCCAGGAAAGGGCCGGACTCGGGCCGAACCTGGGCCGGATCCGGGCCGGACCAGGGCCGGACCACGGCAAAACCAGGGCCAGGAAAGGGCCGGATCCGGGCCGGACCCGGGCCAGACCAGCGCAAGACCAGGGCCAGACCAGGGCCGGACCCGGGCCGGATCAGGGCCGGACCAGGGCCAGGCCACGGCCAGATCAGGACCGGACCCGGGCCAGACCAGGGCCGGACCAGGGCCAGATCCGGGCCGGACCAGCGCAGGACCAGGGATAGACCCGGGCCAGGAAAGGGCCGGACTCGGGCCAAACCTGGGCGGGATCCGGGCCGGACCAGGGCCGGGCCACGGCAAAACCAGGGCCAGGAAAGGGCCGGATCCGGGCCGGACCAGCGCAAGACCAGGGACAGACCCGGGCCAGGAAAGGGCCGGATCCGGGCCAGACCAGCGCAAGACCAGGGACAGAACCGGGCCAGGAAAGGGCCGGATCCGGGCCAGACCAGGGCCTGGAAAGGGCCGGATCTGGGCCGGACCAGGGCCGGACCCGGGCCGGACCAGCGCCGGACCAGCGCCAGACCAGGACCGGACCCGGGCCAGACCAGGGCCGGACCAGGGCCAGCCCAGGGCCAGATCCGGGTCGGACCAGCGCAAGACCAGGGATAGACCAGGGCCTGGAAAGGGCCGGACCCTTTTGGGTCATGAACCAAAGAAACCCTGTGGAGAATCAACAATAATTATAGTTTATTAATGACACTAAATTTAACAGATTTCAGGAAAAACGACTCAAAGATGATTTGAACCAGAACAACACAGAGGATTTTTCTCCCTGGATTTTATGGGACGAAGCAAAAACTTTAATTATCTGGTTCTCTAACGAGAAAGAGAGAAATGTTTAAAAGATTAGAAAACTAAAATCTCTACAAAATACAACGTATGGAAAATAATAATAATAACAAATCAGAGAAACAAGGAGAAACTGTTTCTATGAAACCAGATGGAGGAAGAGGATAAATTTATTCAACTCAACTATTATGGAAATAGATCAAAGCAAAGAAACTGATAGCAAACTAATAGATTTATCAATAAATTAAAATCCAACAGATAAAGACACCGATCTCTAAAACACATGAGAATCTGTTGCATGATCCTCCACTCAGTTCTGCTCTCAGCCTCATGCAGTTTTTGCTGCTGCTCTGGATTCACCATCGATAGGAACAGATCAAAATCATCCACTAACAACTAATCACTGATCAATAAAGTCATTAAAGACTGAAAGGGAATCAGACGGCAGGTGAGGAGGCGACCCGGCAGAGCGGCTGCTGAAGGATTGATTTGATCAGAACTTTGTGGAGGGGAAACGCCGCCATCTTGGATCAGAGCAGAGATGTCAGTGATTCCTAAACCTGGTAAAGATGAAACTGGATGTGGTTCATAAACCAACATCAGTTTGAAACATTGATTACAGGATCACTGCAGCAACACTGGATAAATTATAATCCCAGGAATTACAGACACAGATCAGATTTAATCTGGTTTTATCATCAACATTCAAACCCATGACAACGTGGGCTCCTGACCTCACAGGTCAAAGGTTAAACAGAATCAATAAAGTCATTTAGATGCTGAAAGGCTTTTGATTCAATGTGTTGGAAATATCTTTATTGAGCTCTGGACAGATTTGGCTTTAATCAGATTATAGGTTGTTTCAGTCTGTATGAATCACATTCTGCCAGGATTAAGATTAATGTGGATTATCAGATTCAGGAAAGGGTCTGTGGCCGAGGCTGAACCCTCATCGCCACGTTGCTGCTTTTATTGATCCGTCAGAGAACAACAACATTATGGGAGGAACTATTAAGGAACAAGACCAGACGATGAGCTGCTAACGCTAACTGATAACGCTAACTGCTAACGCTAACTGACCCAGAGTTAGCCGACCTGATAGCACAGGATGCTACGTCAACGATGGATTATAGTCAGAATGGTTGATTTCTGGTCCATAATCAATGATCAATCAGCAAACAATCATCCAATTCTAGTCAGAACCAAAGTTGAAAATGTGTCAACGAATCATTTGAGGTTGAAATT